AAAACCCCAAAACCCCAAAACCCCAAAACCCCAGATGGCCAAATTGGATCGATTAAATGAATATTTAATCTTAAATATTTAGAAATCGAAATTAAATTTGTTTTTAACTAAGTATATTTCCTCAGAACTCCAACACATCTAAATTTTTCACAAATTAGGCGGGAAACCTCCTTAAATTGACAGCCGCAGTTTTAGGTACTAATATTTTAAGCTAAAGTCTAATTTAAAAAATTAAATTCAACATTCAACGAAAACAAAATACAAAAGAAAACACCACACAAAAAACAATAATATTAATAACAATACAATATAAAGGAAAATATCAACCAAAAATGAACTAAATGAATCAAAATAATAATAATGGCATTGGGTATCTACCCTCTCAGATGTCTAACTCAATAAATGGGTTTAGCTAATTCGGCAACCCCTTTTAAGCTAGTCAAATGCAGTACATGAATTAAGCCAATGGCAACGGAGTAAATGTGATTTAACCTCGATCTAATGGTAAGTTATCATTTTTCATATAAGAATATTTAGGCTCATATTAGTATGCGCCTAATGGAGATCAGGGGTAAGCCAGTGTGTAAAATACAGACTCCCATATGAACTAAGAATTGATGAAATTTCTACTCAAATTGAAAAATAACAATATCTAAAACCTAAAAAATGCCTTAAGAAAGCTTGGCGAAAGAACTTAAGGGAATAAAGAACATCTATTAGTTAGGTTAGCTAAAAAGCTTGCAACTCCTGAAGGTAGACAGATGGTCAAACAAAATTTTAGACAGTAAGTTTAATATATAGTTTATATGTTTGATATTTAGAGAGGTATATAAGTAATTGTACGAAGTTGAAATTCAAGGTAATTTTTAAAAAATAGCATAGGACACAGGCATGACTCGACTTATATAATAGAGCGCAATGAATTCAAATCAACAATAGATACCCTAAAATGGGCAAAATAATCAAAATAATAGAAGATTTCTCAATCCAATGGATGCATTATAACAAAATAACATGATACCTTAAACTTTTGGGAGTAATTATCAACCAAACATAGTGCCTCAACCTATTCCTTAGACTCAACCTGCAAGTTTTGCGAATGGCTTAAATCCCTTACTTACTAACTAATAAGTTAGAAGTTAGTAAGCATAGGTGATGACATAATAAGTTTAAAGATAGCCTCAAGTATCAACGGTCGTTGACATCATTGACATAGATTCAGACTCGATAAGTCCTGATAAAAGTGCAATGCTTATGAACAATGTTAATTAAATTCAAATGTAATAAAATAGGAATCTTAACAATCCTCAAGAAGAAAATGAAGCTAATTTTATATCTAATGGAAATGAAACGATAAAAGATATGTAGAAAATAAGTTACAACCAAATAATGATGAGTAATAATTACCCATGTCTGCTGGATGAGCCTAATCAAATCAATAAATCATAGGTTCAGTGTTTTTGTGAAAACTACAATAGTTTGTACTACCAAGGTTCGAATTAGCAATAGCTGTAATAATTAATAAAATGCACTAAGTGTCTACGAGAACAGCATTTAAATTGTGTAGAGGCAAATAGAGATATGAGAACAGCTTAGTCAGGGGGAATACATTAATATGTTTGCCATTAATGCCAATTTATGATAATCGATCCTTTTGCAGTGCCAATTGAAACACTTTTGAGACCTTTTAAGATTGCAAAATTAACTACTTAGCAAGTTAAATCTAAGACTGAGCAAAAGGCTTGGAAAGAATTCGTTATAAAGGAAAGTTTATTCGCAGAAATCACTAAATTTAACAATTTAAAGGAATCAAGCGTTAGGATACAGGTTAGATGTATAAGGCTGGATACATTAGGATTTGAACATTGTTGGCCTAAATTTGGGGGTATGAGTATTAATAACAACCCCCACCCTGAATTTAGAATGCCAGATCCCCCCAATGATTAGAAAAAACGTAAAGATGATATGTATGATATAACCTCGTTAGTTCGAAGGCCTAAAAACAGACTCGAAATCTTTTAAGAATAAAAGAATCATGATGGATATTTTTAGCATCCAGGTCACATTTGTGCTGTCTTTGTTGTCAAAGTTATTCAACCTCACGACATTATAAACTTTATAAAAACTCAACGAATTGAAGAGCCATAGTTGAGTTTGAAAAGAGCTGAGCAATTTTTTGGAAACTCGAGTTCTGGATCAGCAGACTAAGACATTTGCGAAATTGAGACTGAGTTTGCTCAGTAAGTAAGCACTACTACACTCTGCCCTATAACAAGGAAGCCTATTAAATATGCAGCAAGAGGAGAACTTTGTCGCCATCTCGAATGTTTTGACTTAGAGACCTATGTGAACATGAATCACTAACATAAAAGATGGAAGTGTCCTAGTTGCAATAAGCGAGCACATTCATTAATGATAGACAGCTATTTTAGCTAGATAGTTGATCTCATGAATAATTTAAAGCAAAGTGATCCTTACACCAAGGATAAGATTCAAATAGATTCTAATTTGAACATTATAGTGCAGGCCAGTGATGAGCAGTAAGATACCTACTTCAAACTAGTAAGACTGTAGTAAAGTGATTAAAATGAATCAGGGGTTAATTTTAAATACGATATTAATGAAAGACAAATTATCAGTAAGAATTAAGAGTTGAATTCAAAAAAGCAAGATAGTCAAGATACCACTAGTGGTTCAACTCTTAATAAAGATTAGTTGAGTCCAGCTACAGGGAATGCTTCCTAGAATAAAGAAGGGAATGAAGCATCAGATGGCAAGGCGGCTAATTCAAATAATGAAGCAGTAAATAATAAAAGAAAAGGTATTTAAACTGGAGAAATTGCTCTATAAGATGCAATATGTCTAGACTCAGACGATGAAATGCATTGAATTGAATATAATCTAAAATTACCAGATAAAAAAGTTTACTTTATTATACATCTCTTCAAATTGTAAAGTTTTAACATTCCTACTTAATATACTCTGACATTTAACTTATACTTTTGTATATATTTTTCAGAGTCATTAGTAGAGGATTTTAATGATATTCAATAGATTTATCTAATATTTTAACTTTCAAAATCTTTTTTATATATTTAAAACAATTGGTTTTGTTATTTATATATTCAGA